TAAATCCCTTATATTGTTATGGATATTGTATGATTTATGTGTTAAGGAAAATGATCAATGCAACCCTAAGGTCTGTATGTAAGAAGCTTAAAAAAAGGATAAAATAAGAATAATTAATCATTAGTTATACTAATTTAATTTTCAAATTTATTATACCATTTAAGATGATGCTTTTAAGGCTTATATGCAACCCTAAAGTCCCAAAATAATAATAATTAATATCTATTAGAAAACAAAATACTCCAAAACATCACATGAGGAAAAATATTACTTGAGATGGGCATGGGCTGAGCTAGCACAAAAAGGCCCGACATGGCACGGGAGACACAATGATTAAGCACAAGCACGACAAGTAAGCCTGTGCCGGTACACTTACATTTTACCAATATAAAAATTGTTAAAGGGGTTCGCTAGCACGTCATCGCACGCGAGTGAGGCCGTGTGAGAGCTTTAAATGTGAAAAACCGATACAAGTTCGACGTGGCACAACTATTTCTCCCTAATCTAGACACGGCGTATTACAGCGCGAAATACGTTGACACAACACATGTACCTGCAGTCCTATATGCCATGCCCACCTTATAATAATAATAAATTAAAAAAAATAAAATAAATAAAATAAATTAAAAAATAAAATAAATAAAATAAATTAAAAAATAAAATAAAAAAGCTTTTGGATCAAAGGACGGAATCATAATACTTCATTAGAAAGGCCCAAACCAATTTTCGTAACCCATTGCTTTGTTCGGATTCAGTGAAAATACGAGTTGGCCCAGATTTTTACGAAGGTCCAAATAATGGAAGAGTTGATTCGACATGGCAAACTAGAGGAGAGAGAGAGAAAGAGAAAGAGAAAGAGAGTTGGGGAAATCAAAGTGCAAGAGCAAGAAAACTGGAGAATGGGAGATCAAAAGGTGGAATTTCCAGTTATCAAACCTAAGCACAAACTCCAATTCAATTTTCTCCAAGGAAACGATCTCACCACCGTAACTATCTTGCCTCCTCTCTTTCTTTGCAATTTATTTTTTAGAATGCTTGTTGAATTTTTGCTGATTATATAATATAATATATGTTGAAATTGGTGCTATTTTTAAGGAAAAATTGATTATAACATTGGGATTTATTGTATTTGGTTGCAAATTACTTGTATTTCTAGGTTGCATTTTTCTGGGGTTGTGCTAAAATGTAGTGTGTTAATAAATATTTTGGAGAATTTTGCCTTTTCGAATTTGGAGAATTCCCAATTTGATGTTTTAAAACAAAAAGACTGTGAAGGTGTTTTTACATGTTAATAGCTTTTGTAATTGAGGGGGATGATCAGGGGATTATGTTGGAGGTGAAAGCAGTAGTCTTTTTGGGCTTAAGTCATGCTTCGTATAACTTATTAATCAAATTACTATTCAATCATAAAATTTTCTGTTTAAAGATGCTCATAGACCTCTCAACATTTGGAAAGAGGTAAAAACGCGGTTTTTGTGTGGATGGTATGGAATTAGGGTAAGTTCTTCATAGCAATATCTTTGAAGGGTGAAGGAATGTGTGGTAATTGCCATCATTTGATGTGTATCTCTTAAACTCTTCACTGTGACCCTCAGAGATAGACACTAGCGAATTGTAGGTTGGGTTCTTTGAAGTAAACTAATAACAGATGGATATTTTTGAAAGTAGCCATGCTGAATCCACAGAAAACTGCACCAAATATTCGACATTACTATGGGTATGGACACTTTTTGCTTCATTATGGACCAAACATGGATTTTTTTTGTGAATAACTCAGTTTGATCTTGGATGTGTACCCTTGTCCAACACTAGTTGATAAATTTGAGTGATAGATGGCATGTAACAAGTAAGACAGCTCTTAAATAGATGCTGGTCTATGCGATTATTGTTTATGATTATGCTGCAATTTTTCAGATGTATTAGCCGTGTAGCCAAATGAAGATCCATAATGGATTTCTTTGTTCATGAAGTCATGATTTATGTATGCCATATCAGTATATCACCATGATGGTTGAGTTTTCTATATGTATAGTTGTCTTATTGGTAGTTACTATTGGTAATTTGGTATTGCTCATGTTAGAAGAATTATAACTCTTAGAATGGTGAGAATTGAACCATGATTAGGTGGGGATGTGTCCAATATCTGAAATCTCGTTATGATATTCAGGTACCAAATTTTTTCACGCCTTTTGAGTCAGAGGCATTTGTCAAAGCTGCAGAGTCACTTGGTTTTGTGCACCAAGGGAGTCTTGGGCCAGCTAAAGGTGAAGCTTACAGAGACAATGATCGGGTCTCTGTGAATGATCCTCAACTTGCTGACATAATTTGGGAGTCGGGACTTAACAAACTGTTTAGAGATATCAAAATACGCGGGAAAGCTGCTGTCGGGCTTAATCCAAATATCAGATTCTACAGGTTTGTTGGTTATTGGCTTGTAATTATTGTAACCATGGCATTAATCATCTATTATCATTCTTTTCAAGGCATGTGTAAACTTTTCCTAATCACTGAGACTTGGCTTTAAGATACTTCGATGAATGTGATAGGTCCACTTTATGATCGCATATTGATTTCCACTCTGTAAATCTAGATTCTTAACTGATTAGACAAGCTGTAACTTATGATCAACTTGCAGCTCTATTATTGTGAAATTGTGACAATATAGGTTTGTCTATTTACTATTTATTGACCCTATGAATAAAAATACGATCTTGCCTTTAAAAAATGTCATTTGTAGTTCTGCCACTTCAAATTTTATTGATTAGCTGTCTGAGAGCCCTTGTCCATAAACTTTCCATTTCTCCTGCTTTCCCTCAGTCCACTATAACTCATCTTCTATCATACTTTCTAGGGCATGGATGGTTATTTTCTAATTCATGACACCTGGACTTTAGATAAGTTCATGTATGAGATAGGTCTGCTTGATGATTGCATAATGTTTTCCTCTATTATATCTTAATTCCTAACTTGTTAACGAACTTGCAATTTTATCACTGTTGAATTATGGCATTAATGATTGTTTGTTTAAAAAATTCATTAACCCCATGAATGAGAAGTTGTTATTGCCTTTGAGGGATGTCATTTGTAGTTCTGCTACGTTAAATCATACGGGGTATTAATGAGCTATCTGAGAGCCCTTGTCCTTGGAATTTTTAGTTTCTCTTGCTTTCCTTGCCTTCATTTTTTATTTTTTTTCTTTTCTGGGGAGGGTGGCAGTGTGGTTTATGGTTTGTCACTGACTCTAGCTATATATGATTTTGGAACTTATGTAATAAGCTCTTGGGATTCATCAAATGACTGATTCTGAATTTGAAATTGGTCTCTTGGTTCTGCAGATACAAGGTTGGTCAGCATTTCGGGCGTCATATTGATGAAAGTGTTGATCTTGGTGATGGAAAGCACACACACTATACATTGTTAATATACCTTAGTGGCAGTTCTCAATCCAAAAGCAAAAGGGATGTCAAGAGCATAGGTAACACAGATCCCTTAGTTGGAGGTGAAACAGTATTTTATGGCTCAAGAAGCAAAGTGGTGGCTGAGGTTTGTTCTTTTTTCCAATTTTAGCTGACTTCTTTGTGGTATTTTTCTCGAAGAAAAGTATATCTTATTGCTGTGAATCTTTGAGAGTATATATGACTAACTAAAAGGTTTCATATGCAGGTGGCTCCTGCAGAGGGGATGGCACTCGTTCATATCCATGGTGACAAGTGTATGTTGCATGAAGCTCGGAATGTAACCAAAGGGGTCAAGTATGTTTTTCGTTCAGATGTAGTTTTTGCTTGATCGAGCTAAGCATCATCATTCATTTTACTATCACACAATTACAGGGCCATCTATCGCCTTCTGCATTTATCATCACTATTTTACTATCACAGAATGCCAAGGCCATCTATTACCTTCTGCATTTCATTCTTAAATATCATCTGCAATGTATATGGTGATGTTGTAAATTTTTTTATCCCGAGTTATTTATTGTGAATTTTTGTTGACATCAATGCTCAATATTATATGGAAAAAGATCTCTCTGTGTTTATTTGAGGTATAATACAAATAAGTTAAGGATATTCCTAGTTGAAGTAGCATCAAAAACTGTTCTGAGCTCAAAGCACCCCTGTATTGGAAGATCCAAATGATTTTCTTGTAATACCTTTTCTTCTTGTACTTACTAACTAATTTGGGCACCAAAATTCAATTCAGTCCTTACAGCTTTTCAATATATGAAATTATGTTGCATTTTCTCCCGTCATGACAAAGCTTATCATCTCTAAGCTCTCTGATCGTTAAAAACAAGCAATAGCATTTGAAAAACATGTACCAATTTGGGATTTTGTGACTTGTGAGAAAGTAATTTTTTCCAACATTATTGTGGTTTAAATAGTAGATTACTAGAGTGTGATGTTTTAAGGTAACCCGTATTCCTAGAAGGTATTATTACGAAATGAAAGGAAAGAAGAGATAGGGGAAATAGAAGCTTCAAGAGCTAACCTATTATTGCTTAAAAAGCATGAGAGGGTTTTGCCTTGTAGAGCTGTAGGTCATGCTTGCTGCCATATTCTGGTTGGGTGGTTGGCTGATATGACTGTATTGATATGTCTCAAGTTCTTAGTGTTGATGAAAACTGAGTATATTATCATCAAGGTCTTAGTTCAGAATGTACGGGAAGGCAGAATTGGATGTTATCAATCCTATTACAAAGCAGTTTTAGTCAACAACAATTACCCTAATACCGTTAAAAACCTCTTGTTTTAGAGAAGGGGGTTGAATGAGCTTAGTCTTTCCCTGCAATATTGGAGTGGTTTCCAATCAACTCTTGATCAGAGATGGTGCTTTTTCACTGTAAGAATGAGGCATAATCAATTAATCAGAGATGGTGCTTTTTCAGCCTCATTGTTAATGGACTATATAGATGGTGGATTTAGCCAAGTATACTAAATTCAAGGCTTGGAAATTTGGAATGCTAGTAGCATAATAGGTGCTACTGTTTAAGTTTGAGCAGATGAGTCATGTTATTCATAATATCAAGCCAGCAAGTATTGTTGGCATTGAGCATGGGTTCATGCATTTGATTAGTTTCCAACTCATGACCCGGGGTAGAGAGGATATATTGGTGTATCTGTGATTTTGATCGTCTGCCTGTGTAACTTGGGATATGTAAGTTTGTAAAGTTAATTGGTTTTCTTTCTATGGAATTGGCTCAGTTGATGGATGCTGAATGATCCTGCTTCTTGTGTATTGGGCATTCAAGTTTATTTTTGGAGTTTTTCCTTTAAGATATTTCCGGATAAACTTGAGTAATTTTGCCTGAGTATATGAAAATAGTAAATTTGCATTATGATAGTTAGAGTACACAAACATAAAACTCTCACATTATTACATCTCTCTAGAATACAAGAAATGGCTTGTTTTCTCTCTCTTCAAAGTTTCTCCCTTTGATGTACACATAAATCCTTTATCAACACTCAATTTATTCTTCGGCAATTTAATCGCACTTCTCCTCCTTCATTAACCCCCACATTTCCAAGCTTTATCATTGAGGCTGCAAACTCTCTGAAGAACAAGTTTTGGTCTTTTGCGAATGCCTCAATCAGTGGCCGAGTCCTCTGATCATCATACATGACTTGGTCTGTATTGAAAACACCCTTTCTAGCGATGATCTGTTTGTAGTAGTTATTGTCAAATCGTGATGCGGTTGAATCTAAGAACTGCCCTGCATCTCCATTGTTGTTTGATCTTGGACATTTGTTCTTGAGTAAGCTGGCAAATTCGGAGTTCATGCTAGGATCAGTTTCATGTACTGTGCTGAAATTATGGACTCGAGCAACAAAGGAAGAACAGTGTGAGAAGCCAAGAGTGTGGGCACCGGATAGAGCGACTAGATCCTTAATGCCTAATCCTCTTTTAGCAAAGGTCTGAATTAGTTGATTCGCGTTTAGAAATGGGGGTGGAAGATTTGTAGTATCACTGGCTTTTGACACTCTTCCATCTTTTCTTCCTTTGAGTACGCTCCAGTAAGGTCCTCCAGTCTTAAAAATAGAAATTGAGAGTTAGACAATGAATAAGTGCCATTAAAAAAAAAAAAGAGTGAAGATTCATGGAGTATGCAACTATGTATCATAGAATGAAAGACTGATGTGAATGGCAATATTACCATAGTGACAACATCTCTGGCAGCCATAGCTATTATGTCCGCGCATGAAACTGTGTGTGGACATGCCTTCTCAAGCTTAGCCTTTGCATCATCAATGACATAGAATGATCGGACTGAGATGTTTGGTGGACCATCCTTCTCTGCTTTGTTCCCAGGAGTCGAGTCCAATAAAATTGACGCATCACATCCCTGGCATGATTTAATATCTTAGTTAGTGTATAAAAGATTATAATTCAGCCTAGATTGGTTAGAATGTTAGATTGATTTTGTCTATAGACTGTCTGCATTGCCCTATGCTCCCTCTAACCCACTTCCAAGTTCCAAGTGCCACATAAGTTTAGATATTATTAAGAAGGGAAATAAAACCTATTTGGTGCATGATTTCACGTGTATTCTTTCATGGATTGGAAGAAAGATTCTTACCCTGATGAAGCAGTCATGGAAGAACATGCGAAGGAGGCGAGCTGGGGATTTGGGATCATATATGGAAGCATTACGAACTGTCTGTGCGACAATATACTCTGCCTGTGGACATGTTTGATCGTAATAGTGAGTATCGAGTGCTGCTTGACAGCTAAAAACTGCAATGGAGAGAAGTAATAAGGCTGAAAGGAAGAGGTTTTTGGTGTCTTGAGCCGCCATGTCGTACTTTCGAGGTAAGTGAAAGTGTTGATACTTGTAAGCAGGCTTGTTATGATGGAAATACCATAAACTTAGAGCCCTATTTATAGTTAATGTAGAACATTGTTAGAACAAAATTCGGAGATAATAGAGTACTGCGCTTTCAAGGCACTCATTGGACTCAAAATTCCTTTGAAACCACCTGTTCTTACTGTACATTAAAGATCAAGTATTCCTTTTAATTTTATGTGATTTTAGAAGATTTTAAGCTCTGTTATTTTCAAGTTTTTAGCTAATCAGAAACGTGATTGTGAATGAAACTAACAGTACCAGCAGCTGAAACTAACACCCTTTTCTTTTCTAGATAATTGGCTCAAATTCTAAGTCCTAATTTATGAAGTATAAGTTTTTCTAATCATAGCATTTATGCATAAACATTAATTGTATTTCTCAAATTGGTATAAAATTGTGAATTTAAAATAAAATAAACATGATTTGCAATGTAGATGTGTATCATTTTTGCTTTTTATTTAAAGCAGGGCTACGTTTGACAAATTCCTTTTTTTAATTTATTTGCATTGCCTTTTATCCTACGAATTAAGATGTCAATGTAGAGTGTAGAGAAATTTTATGAGTGTCATACATTAAATTAAATAAATTAATTTGGGTTTAAATCATGTTAATGATCCATTTTAATTATTTTTGGCCCACTCAAATAAATAATCCGAGTTAATAAAATACAATTCGGGTTATAAAATAAATCAAACAGACTAGGTTAAAAGACTTCTAAGTCATTAAATGGGCCAAGCCCAAACCTATTAAGTCCAATCAAGGGGTTCTCATCTCCTATAAATACACCATTCCTCTATCAGTTGAGGGGATCAGAAATTATTATTCCTAAGAGCTCATAAAATTCAAACGGAATTCTCTCTGAAGTAAGTCAACAAACACATCAAATTTGTGCCGACTTGTTCTGATACACTCAAACACATTTAAACGGGAATAAGCTTCATAAGCCCTCGTTCAGATGTATTCAAATAAAACCCTTGAATACAAGTTGACATCATCAAACGTCACCCTGCGTTCAAACTCAAGTCGACGTCATCAAACGTCACCCTATAGGTGTCACACACGTGTCATCGTCAAACTACGGAACAGAATCAGAGTACTTAGTTAATTATATTATAGACCAAATCAAATATTAATATAAATTCATTTTGTTACTTTATTTCTCGTCTTTATTTATTTAGACTCGAAATTTGTGTAAACAGAGAGATTTATAAATTGTCGTGATACTTTAATTTTGACCTATTAATCAATGCCTCATTTGTTGATTCATGTAATTATCCCATCTCATGTCTTTCTATTAGAGTTTAGACATATTAATCCCAAGAACTTGTTTTATTTAGAGCTAACTAACTTTTTTAGTTTTAGCTTAAACTGTGAAATTTATGTGTTAATTTAATATTGTTGGTTTTGATTAATCAATAGTCAAACTTTATAAACTTATATTTAAACTCTAAGAAATGAGCCCAAACTGTTGGTTCATACTGATCTATCAGGTCTGTTAAAGGACTACGGTTGGTGACCCTTAAAGTACACGTACATGTATATTTGTACTGCATGTGTTAAGCAATGTCATTCCAACTGTATGATTGATCAGTCAACATACCATTTATTCTCCTCTGTTCCGAGTTTGTTATATGTGAATATTGTATGGATTAGAATATACTCTCTTTAACCACTATTATGATAGAAAAATTTAATTATACTTGTTTTAGGATTTCGATCCAAAAGGTAATATATGTGACTAGTAATTTCAGACAGATAAGAGTGGTATGAAAATTTAATAATTACTCCGTATTGTGTAAAACAGTATGACCCACTAAGATCAGGTAACTCGTATGCACTTATGCTACCAGATCTTGTAAAAAGCAATAACTCAAGCTGTTTATTTGACTGTACGTATTGATCAAAACCTTACTTTGTAGAGGTTGGGGTAGAGCATCATTTGAAGAAAACTATTTTGTACCCCAGTGGTCTACGGTAACATTTCTACATCTTCTGTTTTAAGAACTTACCGCGTACAATTGACGCTGGAAATTAAGGTTCATGTATGTGTTTGAAAAGAGTTTGTTTACTACCCACATGATTATTATGAAGTACTATCTCTATTTCATAATATTCTTAACATATTATATTTCAGGTAAACATTTTTTATCACTTTACCCCTCTCACCCACAAAAGTTCCACATTTCTACTTATTTACTTGTTGTTTCTTATTTTATCCACCGTTTTCTTACCTGATGTCTCTTACTTTATCCATCGTTTTGTTACACCCACCTATTATTTTATACAGAGTACAAATTTTCTCATACTTTAATTTTTGTGCAAATAGTAAACCTTAAAAACATTAAACATAAATTTGTGAAAGACTAATTAGCAATCATATGAAGAACTTTGTATAAGGTTGGCAATGGGTCGATTAGACACAAGTCCAAAAGCACGCCGCCTAGGATTGGCAAGACTCAAACCATATTGTATAGTGGCTGGCCACGTCTGGCCTGGCGGGCTAGCCTTGGCATGGCTTGCCCATTTAATACTTATGCGCGTATCACATAACACATGCACGTGAATTATGATGTGCATAGACGAGCATACTTTAAAATATTCATGCATCTTGTGTTCAAAAGCAGACTACTCGTGCATGGCAGTATCGGTTCATGCTTGATTGCATATTGTTTTAGTTTGAAAAAGCAAAAGGTACATTATGTGATTTATGTCCATGTTTTTCTTTTTTGATTGCTTATTTTATTGATGGTAACATCATTTTATAATTAAGAAAAAATATTTTTATGATTTAATAAGTAGACCTGTCCATTCTCCAATGATTCTGGAGATTTTGTGAGAATTTTAATTTTTAATCTTTGTAAGAATAATATAGCGTATAGATTATCTCAAGAATTCATTTTCCTGCTGTTGCTGAAAATTCTTCACTGCCATACATAAAATCAATAAATATTTCCCAACAAATAGTTAATGTATGTACCAATACAGAGAATTATAAGTAAGAAAATAATAATTCACACTCCATTTTGTTGAGTATACAAACATATAAAAAAATCTTTACAGTATTACATCATTCAAGAACCTGAGGAACAAATTAGTTATGGCTTATTTTTTTTCTCACTCAAACATTATTACATTAGAAATGTCTTCTTTTCCCTTACACACTCTCCTGGAATCGCTTTCGTCTCTCCCATGTGTGTTTATGTACACAATTCTGGTTCCCAAACTTAGTTTGGTTTTCGGCAGTTCAGTCTCACTTCTCCTACTTCATTAACCCCCACATTTCCAAGCTTTATCATTGAGGCTGCAAACTCTCTGAAGAACAAGTTTTGGTCTTTGGCGAATGCCTCAATGATCGGTCTAGTACTTGGATCGTTGTACATGGCTTGGTCTGATCCGAAAACACCCTTTCCTGCTATGATTTGTTTGTAGTAGTCATTATCAAATTGTGATGCAGTTGAGTCTAGGAACTGTCCTGCATCACCGTTGTTGTTTGAACTTGGACACTTGTTCTTAAGTAAGCTGGCAAATTCGGTGTTCATGCTAGGATCAGTTGCGTGTAATGTGCTGAAATTGTGAACGCGAGCTACAAAGGAAGAACAATGTGAAAAGCCTAGAGTGTGTCCACCAGATAGAGTAACCAAATCCTTAATACTCAATCCTCTACTAGCAAAGGCCTGAATTAGTGCTGTCGCGTTCAAGAATGGAGCTGGGAGATTGGCAGTATCATTAGCTTTCGATACCCTTCCGTCTTTTCTACCTTTGAGTACGTTCCAGCTTGGTCCTCCAGTCTGAGGTAAAAAGAAGCGTGAATTAAAGAATTGATATGAGATGTAATCAATATCGAAAAATAATCTCTCTTGTGTGTATGGTTGGATAAGTAGCAAGAACTTACCATAGCGACAACATCTCTGGCAGCCATGGCGAGTACATCAGCACAAGAAACCGTGTGGGGGCATGCCTTCTCAAGCTTGGCCTTAGCATCGTCGATTACGTAGAATGCTCTAACTGAGATGTTAGGAGGCCCGTCCTTCTCTGCTTTGTTCTCAGGTGTTGAATCGAGTAAAACTGATGCATCACATCCCTAATACGATGCAATATTATTAGTTGTTGTACTAATGTGTAATATATTATTCTAGACTTACAATAATTAATAATTGAGAAGATGCTTACCCTAATGAAACAATCATGGAAGAACATCCGGAGGATACGAGCTGGGACTTTGGGATCATATATGGAAGCATTGCGAATCGTTTGGGATACAATAAACTCGGCTTGTGGACATGTTTGATCATAATAGTGAGCGTTGAGTGCTGCATGAGTGCTGCAAATTGCGAAGGAGAAGAGAACAAAGAAGAGGACTTTGGTTGATTGAGTAGCCATTTTCGTCGTCTTAAGAGAAGAAATGTATGTGTTGAAGGGATGCTGGTGATGAAAATGCCTTGAACTTGGAGAAGTATTTATAGTTCTGTAAGTGAATGGATTGAGCTTTCAAGGCACTCATTGAACTTGAAAAACTCTGGGAAAAATAAACCAACTCTTTAGTGTGCTTTAAGATCAAGTAATTCCTGTTTAAACTTATGAGAAAATTTTAAGCCATGTACTTACTAGAAAACTTGTACTACTTTTGTAATTGTGCATGTATTTGAGAAATGTAGTCTTGAAGTTATTAAAGGTTTGTTGTTTTGATTTAAATTTCAATGAAATAACGGAGTAGTAAATACTTATATGTAATTTTCCATTCAAAATCCTATATACTTCATATCATTTCATTTGTTTCCTTATCTTATTTTAAAAAATTTCGACAATTTCATACAAAAATAAGATTTTTTGAATAGTTTGTCGTTGGATGAACTACAAAGAACTTTTGTAGCATTGATTTGTCTTCTTGATTTTTTCTTTTTCTAGGTAATTATGACCAATAAAACAATGCTTCATTTGACTGTTTTACTTGAAAGTAATGATAACTCGGTAACTCTAGTCTGGCTCATCTTT